CCGGGCGGAGCCAAAGCCGGTGGCTGTGCCAATCAAAGGTCACCTCACCGGACATCAAGGGAAACTCTTGACCAGACTTCGACCCCGTGCGCAAAGTTGGGAATCTTGCTGGTAAGAAAAATAAGGAAGCTCGACAGGGTAAAGCTTGGCAAATGATTGAAGGGGCCCGATCCGATTGCGTTTTACTCAAGGCTGCGCGAACTTCCCGACCCGAAAGGTAGCACGGGCGCAATTTGATTTTGCAGTCCATTTTGAATGGGGATCCCACCCAAAGGAGAAAAGCGTAACTACTTTGCCCGAGGCTCGCCACGCTTTGTAGCAGGCAAGCCAACTTGAGCGATGCAAAGAACACAAACTCAAGGGATTGGCTGGGTGATTTAGATCGATTTCGGGTGGTTTGAACCTGGCCCACTTGCATTATACAGTATCTCCACCATGCTGACGGTGCCAATTAGATCAAGAGTATGTACCAGTCGTGGCCATGCCACTTTGAAGCCTGTAGAACATGTCATATTTGCATACAAAATCCAAGTTCAGCATTTACTAGTAGGCGTAACTATTTTGGACAAGTTGAGAGGCCTCCTCGATTGATGCTTTCAAATGACTTCTACGATCCTGTACAGGTTATCACTTTCGTCAGGGTCTCAGTCTCACCGAGTGCCTAAGGGTTCGGCAAATCGCCCCACACCATAGCGCTCCAGTAGCCACTGGTGCCTGGAGGGAACATCTTGCAGCAGGCTGGGACTTTTGATTCTGCCCCCAAAGGAATCAGTTGGAGCACTTTAAAAGGGGTTTGGTGCCCTTTGACTACTTGGGTTCTGGGCGCCAAAATCGTCAGTAGACAAACATACAGTTGGGAACGTTGTGTAACTCTCACAGCCGCATAGAAGCCACGATGAATCGCTGCGCCGTAATTGGGTTTGCTTCCTGCAGCAACCCAGAGTAGTGCCATGTTCTGAGCCACGAGGACGTGTACAGTAGCCATCTAAAGTCTGGCCTCTAGAGTCCTGTATACAAACTCACAGATTCAAAATGATCAAGCGTGCTTCACGCATGCTCCAAATAGAAATTCATGTGCATGTATGCATTCGAAGTAGTCAACACGGCATTACTCGCAGCACGAACATGACAAGCGCAAACTCAACATGAACAACTCGGACATATATATATATATATATATACATAATCTGCATATATATATACATAATCTGCATATATATATATATATTGGGGAGAACACACATCTCTAACAAAGGCCTCCTACAGCCCTGTGAAAGCTCTGAAAGGAATGCGGGAAGCTAGTTCCGGGCAAACTTACATGGGACCCCCCAATCCCCGATTTGGGTTTCATGACAATCAATTTGCCGGGCCCCATCCGCTTCAGAGAAAGGCCAAACTAGGTAAATTCTTGCCACACAAATCACTGTTGTTCATTTAGAATTTTGCAGTCATTGCAAACTCGGATGCACTGAAGTAGATGAGCCTGCGGTCTGCAGCAATACTCTGCTGTATTGAAAAATCGTTTGTTTAGGGCGCAAGGAACAGCCCCAAGCTTGCCTCGGAGGAATCCCCAAGAGGCTTCAACGCTCACACTTTGCCCGTCGGGCCGTAGGGCCGTAGGGCCGTCGGGCTATACTTCCAACATACCAATAGAGTTCCTTGGCTGAAGCATCGAACAACCACCTCCTTTACAACAAAATCTCTAAATCGGCTGGTTTCGGTGATGTTCGAACTGGCCAATATACTCGAAATGGGCTTGATTAGCAACTGCGGGCCACCGATAAAGCGTCCCAATCACAACCATAAGCAAGCCTAGAAAATCCAGAATCATCAGAGCGGGGCCAATTGCTATACGGGTGTTTTTGTTGAGGGTACCGTTATTTTAACAAACACTTGTAAATATATACATATATACGCATATAATATGTATAAGTCCTAAACTGGAGAAAAGGGAATCCACAAGTCAGGGACCTTTGTCACGAGTGAGCGCTTTTTACCACCTATCGGTGAGTTTGCAATATGCACATATTTGATGGTTAACACATCCATGTAGCAGCACCTCAAAAGCCTGGAACTTGAACAACTGTAACACATACACCCTGATGCATTTCCCTGTCACATCGCCTGTGGAAATTGTCGTGAACATGACGACGGGTTTTTCAAGCAAACAGGCAAGCATGCAAAGTAACAAAACAACAAAAAAACCAAGCCTGCAAGCAAACCAACAAAACACATAGTAAGCAACAGTTCAGCACTCTAGTGATAACTGCAATCAGGCAGGAAACCACTGGGACAATCTGCGCGGGTCAACCTCATGTGATGACAAGCGGCATGAGGACCGCCCATATCACAAAGTGGTCCGCCCAGACCTCGAAAGCTGCCAACTGGAGATATTTCGGAGTGATCTTTCGGGGCAGTTGCTTCTTGTTAGAATTGAAAGTTGCGTTCATAGCAGATAATTTGGTCGGTGAAGGGTTCCTAGTAGTGGATAATGTTGCGAACGATCCTGTACCTACCACTCTTGGGTTCTTGCAATGTTTGGGAGGTTAATTCTCATATTCCTGACAAAGAACAAGCCAGGATTAAGGCGAGGCAGTAGGGCTTTACCGACCAGAAAGGTTCTCAGAACCCTTCTAAGTGCAAGAAGGCTCTGAGAACCTTCCCCAGCGAGGATGGGGTTTTGGTTTCCTTTTCTTAGGATGGAATTGACCGGTACAACGCCCTGATGCTGGAATTGAGGATTGTTTTTCACACGCTGCGCCAAATATGTGGATACAGGGAACGAGTATCTGCTTCTCCCAAGCTCTTGAGTTTCGGCAATTTTCGACTGGACAAAAGCGGCAGCATGCCCCATGCTTACATGTTCGGACTCCGCTCGCCAATGAACCAAGAATGGTTGGGCAAGTCTTGAGCCTCGGCTGGCTCGCCTTGTCAAACAGATGAGGCGGGCCCAATCCAACAAGTCCTCTGGGGCCAAGCAGCTTTACTTGCTGCCCCTTTCTCAGAAACAGTCCACAGTTGAAAGGAAAAGTGTGGTCTATGGAAGTGGGTAGGTTAGCCAGTTGGATTGTACATCTGAGATTTCACCCCTAGGTTGTGAGCTGTCACACTCACGCACTAAGAGAAGAAACTCGGTCAGGTCACCACATCCCATCCGGGTGCTGTGCCGCGATTGCGCTGCTAATTGAATCCAGAAGAGGAAACTGTAGCCTTTGATATGAGTTGCCCGCGAAACGTGCACCGGAAATTCAAGTTTGCGCGTCATATGCCTCAATACTCTTGAAAAAACCATTCAGATGTCCACTTCAAACCAATGGATGCCTTCAAAGTTTCTGATCGCAGCTCCGCTGCAACAACTTGATATCAAATCAAACGTTGTCAAAATCCATTCCAATTCGATCCAAGCATGGAAGGTAGCTGCTGGGTTGAGACGCCCATGGTGGAACACCTGGAAAATTCATTGCCAAGGACCAGCGCTTTGGCAAAGCATGAAGACCAAACTGCATTACAGCCAAATCAAACCAAGCCCTAATGGCAAGGGCCAAGGGGCCCTGGTCAAACAACCTGAAGATTTCTTGAGCCAAACGTTAGTCGAGGTAAGCCAAGCTTCAACTTTCATGCAAACCTCATGTCATGTGTATGGCCGAAACCTCCTGGCCAGAAGTCTGCAAGCTCAACGTTTACACTAGTCATGCAAATATTGCAAATTTGTTGCCGTCACCTCATTTGCTTTTGCTGCGGACGTCAAGCGATTCAGGCCGATCGGTGCGAATGCCCAGCAATCTGAGCCCGCGGTCCCACTTTTGTGGGGCTGGCCTGCGACTCGGTTTTATATACTGAAGGCGCACGCCATTCCCCGGCGCAAGCTGTTCAGCGAGACGCGCTAGGTTCACCTTGTGGGTGTGGGTAGTTCCCCTCAACCTCGGTTGACGCACCAAGTCATCTTGCGGAACTTGTTCTACCACCTCACTTCCTGAGTTGATGGGCCAAAAAAAGTTCAAACTTTCGGTTTACCACTAAAGTGGTCTTCCCAAAAAGTTTAAAGTCCAGGAACTCAGGGAGTGAGCCACACGAACAGCCTTGATGCGAGTACGACACGCCGACGTGGTGTTTCCGGCTGCCTCCCAGAGCCACGACACTTTTCCGTCCAACGAGGCGAGAAAGCACACTGCTTAGCGTAACATCGTTGTAAGCAAAGACCATTCTTCTTCTGCTCTCTTTGTTTTCCTCCTGTCCTTGCCAGCCAGCCTCGGCTGGGGCGGCATTCGCGTTGCCCTGATTAGAGGAGGTGGTGGATTGTTAGGACTGTCGGCTTGAGCTGCAGGTTCTTGTCGAAATCCTCTCGGTTCCTCTGCAGTTGATCACGATCAATGGCTAAGCCGGCAATAGACCACAACCAGGTTGTGGAGCTCCTACGGCGGCCCAATGCTGCATCCCGTGCCTTTTCCTGCACTGTGCGCTTTTCAAACTCATCGCGTGGGTGGGGCGAATTCTTCCAACGTCGCCCAAAGATCGGGATCTGGCGGTGCGTCCGCGCCCAAAACTTCAACTTACGAATGTAGTTTCTCGGGTCCGGTGATGCTGCCAAATTAGGGAGGTCAAGATATAAATCTCGTCCCAGCCCGCGTTCTGTACTAGCGAAGGTTTTGCAGCTTGGACCACAGTCCTTGGGCCGTGCCGAAGTGGGAGCAGGGGGGGGGCCAATCAATCCCCAAAAGCAAAGGAGAGCTACGGCTGATAACCACTCAAACAAGAAAGAAACGCAGCAACAAAAACCGGGACCAAAGAATTATCAACCCTTGCTCCCACACGGCTGCGGCATAAACCGTGAACGATCGCACGCTCTTTTTCTTGGTCCAGATGCAGCCAAGGAAACCACAACCCTCATGAAACACTCGTGTCGCGTGCATGCAAGCTGAGTGCTCTTGAGTATATAATTTCCTCAGCGTTGCCATATTCCGTAGCAAAATGACGGAATTAGTATCAAACGAGGGTCCTTCTCAGCTCCAGGCCACATCAATCCATGTCTGGGAGGGATCCAGGGATGAAGACGTGGACCTGGGGGCGAAAGCGTGCATGATGAAGCAGGGCTCTTTCTGTTTCCCCTTTGACCAAAAGGAAACTTCCTGCGCGGTTGACCGAAAGATGCTTAACACCCTCCAAAAGGGGAATATATAGGGAACCTTGGCAAAGGCTTGCTTCAACTGACTGGCTGAGTTGACTGGCCAACGAACAGTTGAACTTGCTGTCCTTTACACAAACAAGGCAATCTAGCGGCGCAAAGATTGACATTCGCACACTCCCCAACTATCAAGGCTGTCTCTCAAGCCGATTGGCTTGCACATGTTTGACTGACTACGGACCAATAGCACTCCACACTTTTCTTTTGCACCACACATGCTGCAATACTTCTCTGCAAGTGAGTGACTGCAGTGCGATTTGTTTTAGGACAGTAGCTCAAACCATCGAAGACAGCACCGCACGAGAAGCCAGTGGCCAAGCGTCGGGCGGCTTAAAGTCAATGCTTGGCTAAGCCAATTTGCCTGTGTTGTGGGAGGCCCGCAGGGGATCCCTTTCACAAACCACAAGGCATGCAAGAATCACGACGAGTCGATCGAACCCGTCCTTTTTGCAAGGCCCAGCAAGATGTCGTAGCCTGCGAGCACGGGCCGGTCCGGGTGAGTGAGCGTGCGTGCGAATTTGCGTGCGTGCGAATTTGCTTTCAGTCAGAATATGCTAGAACACTGGCCGCAAAATTTGGCATCCTTGGGTTGACGTGTTCTTGAAATCTAACAGTCTTCACTTGCCCAAAGTGCCTGAACAAACAACATGTGAGCCTGTCCTTCTGGATGGACTCTAGGGCTCAGCTGTGGGTTTCCTATTGGAAAGAAAGGAGGGGGCTTCTCAAAAAGAAGGACTCTACTTTGGCTGGTAGTTTGGTCAGGGGACCGCGGTTTTGAGAAACCGCCACATCTACAAGTAACATCTCGTCGTTTGGCTTTGGGCCAGCAAGCTTCACTGTGGCAAGGCCACCGAAAAAGCTATCATATTTGTTTAGAGTATGATGTGAACATATGTCAACCCCTGCCCAAAGCAGGAGGTATTTACTGTGGAAGACCTGGCTTTTCAAAACACATCCTCCGACAATCCGACGGCTAAGTCGTGCGAGTCATGCCCGTGTGTTCGTGTTCGTGGATGCATGATGGAAGACTTCAGCATTATTGCCAATTATTGCGCTTGGCTGACACATTCTCACCTGTTGCCGTCAACTAGGATACTGAGTTGTTGACAGGCCAACAGCTTCATTGCACTTGCATAAGGGCATGAGGGCAATCTTTTGTTGCTGGCAAACCCATATGGGTGTGTCAGCCTTTTTGGGCGTTGGTTTAAACGGGAAGCAAAAGGAACTTCCCAAAGCAAACTGAAGGGTTCCCAACTTTGAGACAGCCCCAGATTCGAAAGGGGCCCGACCCTGGCCCGCACTGCTGCCTATCTCCGTGAAGACTGGGCACCAGGAGTAGCTGTCCTCAGGCTCAAACCTTGGTGAAGCTTCAAAGCACGAGCCATCTACCACGCTCGGTGGGTGAAATGAAAAGGCAAACAAAAAGTCAAACTTTTGTTGGCAACAAGAAAAGATCCTTCCGAAGATCAGAAAGAAGCCAGCACCTCTTGTGTGCGTTCGGATTAATTTCTGCGGCCCGGCCCAGGGCTTGCAATATAGAATCCAACAAAAGGTAATTCCACACGGTGCCACTTTGCTTGCAAGGCTTCCGACAGGTCACTTTGTAAAATACTCCCGTCTTGGATAAATGCCGAATGTCAAGCCGGCCATACTTTATCCTCAAGCTTCCAAAAACGCTCGCAAAGAGCAAATAATTTACGTTGCAGGGAGTCAACACCTAGCTTTAAAAAAAAAAATGCCTCGCCCGTCGTTGCCGGGCCCCACGCGGGAGACGCTTCTCCCCTTGCGGCCGCGGGCTCCGTAGCTGCAGCCCCGCCTGAGGAGAGGAGGCAGGAGGGGCGGATCACCAGGGTAGGGGAAGAACCTAAGGCCCACCAGCCTACCGTAATGGTTCTTGGAACGGGATCCCTATGCTACTTTTGCACTTTTGCACTTTTGAGGAAGCGGCCCTAAAACCAAATGTTCCACAAGCGTGGACAATTGATTCCCCCGTAGCAACCATTGACCCAAAAGGCAGGAATCAGGGGAAACCTGCAGCCAAAGCTCGCTTGGGATTTGCAAAACATGAGGGAAAGCTTCTTCGGGCACATTGTGAGCGCCTGCTGATAGATTGCTCGTGCCAGAAGCTCAACCAGCATGTCAGGCAACATGCAAACAACACGCGCAATCACGTCTAGCAAATGACCATGCCGCTAGGCAGCCACTTACGAACCACGTCGACAGCTTCTTTTTGCGGAGCACATCAGATGTGGAACGTTGGGAGGCTGAACGTTGACATTACCTCTCACACACAGCCTAGAACCATTCTGAGCATTAATATCGGGCAAAGGAATATTGTCGGACTGAACAAAGAACGCTGCATTCAAGCCTTGTAGAAGTGGGCGGAGGTAAAAGGGACGAAGCAACTTGCCTTTCAACGTCATCCACAATCCCTTCGCACTTATTTTCTTGGGAAGGAAGGAAAGAAGGAGGGAGGGAGGGAGGGAGGGAGGGAGGGAGGGAGGGAGGAGGGAGGGAGGAAGGGAGGAAGGGAGGAAGGGAGGAAGGGAGGAAGGGAGGAAGGGAGGAAGGGAGGAAGGGAGGAAGCGAGGAAGGGAGGAATGATGAGGAATGGAGGAAGGGAGGAAGGGAGGAAGAGAGGAAGGGAAAGAGAAGGAAGGAGAGTGGGAAGGAGGGAAGGAGGGAAGGAGGGAAGGAGGGAAGGAGGGAAGGAGGGAAGGAGGGAAGGAGGGAAGGAGGGAAGGAGGGAAGGAGGGAGGGAGGGAGGGAGGGAGGGAGGGAGGGAGGGAGGGAGGGGACACACTGCTGCCCATCCAGGGCAACATATTCGGGGTTGAAGTGCTACATCGACCGCAGCAAGACCTGGGAGTTTTTCAAAATGATAAAATGGTGGACCCCTGTTCAGCAGTGTTTAATGGGGAACCAAACGGATCTTAGCCAATTTCAGGGCACACCTCTTTTGATACACACCCGCAGGTCTGTCAATCTGAGCTGCAGGCACAAACAATGGGCAAGTCGTAGAGAGTCCGGAGGATCAGAACCACTGGCGCGCAAATGCGGTCGTGGAGCCCCCAAACTGACCCTAAGATCCCAGGACTTCCCCGTGCTGAAAGCCAAGCTCCACTCGCTTCGTGGCAGACAAAAGGGATCCCCTTTTGGTCGGTAAGTTGCTGTGCGGAACAGGCGAGAATAAGCAGAATTTGGAAAGAGAGCCCTGGCTGTAGGTGCCAAAAATAAATTGAATCAGGCACCCAGCAAGAGGCTCCATCACGTGGCTGATATGCGAGATCTGGAGAAAACCGACTGTTGGTTGAGGTCAAGCCCGGGACACTTTGGAGATGTTGACGAGGCATGGGCTTTGCGATCAACATCTGAGAGGCCTGAGCAATACGTGAAACCCTGTGTGGAACCCTGACTTTGAAACGAGCCTCGCCAAGAATGTGTACACGCATGAACTACGCAATACTGCTCGCAGGGAAATGCCCCAAATCGAATTTAGCGCTTGTGGGCTGCCACAAGCGCTGAACGCAAACCTCCCATTTCATATTTGATCCCACTGTGGCGCATTTGCTCACATCGAAATATGTGCCCAATGTCGTGGCTTTGCTCGCAGGATTCGCGGGGTCAATGGGGGTCACACCCTTTGGATTGATTTGTGGGCGACTATCCTCAAAGCGATTGCCGCTTCATGTCGGCCCTCGTCAGACCTGCGAAGAGAGTGCCCTGCATCTCCTTTCAACACATCGACCATAAATCAAACATACGACATACAACGAGCACCAAATCCTAGTTCACCAGGACAATGGATACTCTCCTCTGAAACATAGAAGGCTTTCTTGACAGCAACTCGTAAATTACCGGTGACAAGGGGAAGACCAAACCGAGCGGGTCATTCCGCCCGAGCGAACAAACGTAAGCTTAAACGTTGAAGCCACTTGGCAGGTTATAACCATGAGTTATATGGGGATTGACCCCAGTTACCCTAGTTGCAACCATGCTTGTAGCCTGCTATATACGTTGGTTGAACACCCAAGTGAGGGGCGATTTGGATTTACCAAGGCACCATCGATTTGACCCAGGCGGCGTCAACCCATTTCCGTCCTGTGGAGTAGTACCTGAGAAAGGTCCATAGCCTGGGCGGCAAAGGCAAATTAGGTCGAAAGAAGGAACCCACCAACTCAACCCCCCGCCCCCCAACTCAAACCCCACCCCCAAACCCCCGAACAACTCCTCCACACACAATCACAAACACCCCAAAAACAGCGCCTCCACAAACCACCTACACCCCCAACCACCCCCCCCACCCCGAAAAAAGAAGAAGACAAAAACAACACCTAAAAACTAAAAAAAAACTCCCCAAACCTTCCAACAACCTCTACCCACCACAAAGACACCCCAAACCACGTCGATAGGCTCCATGGCCAAGGCATATACCTAGGTGCCAGCAGTTGACGTATTCTTGGACAGATCGTCGAATCAATCAACACAACTCTGCTAAAAATATACGAAAAGCTGAGCCTATTGTCATCTGCGCCCCAAAGACAGGCCGTTCAAAGACAGCCTGGATTGAAGTCAATGCCTACAATCCAAGTTCTGCTAGCCGACAGCAGTGCTGTTACCACCTCTCCCATATCAAACACATGCTAGTCAACACAATGAAGCAGACCTTGAAACTAGACACATTGACCCTTGTTTGGTCCAACCTTCTCCTTCTCTTGGCCTGCACTTATGGTTGGGCCCGCAGGACCGCCCATCTTCACAGGAAAGCATCATAAAAGCAGCCTCCGAAATCTCAAACGAGGGCCCCCCGGCAAATGATCCACCCACACCGTAGTGGTGAGCTTGCTATAAAATAAGCAAAGCCATGCGGAGTCCCTGATTCAGAGGCAGCGAGGAACCTTCATGTGTGTTTTCCCCCAGGTCAGCTTGTTGTAGACCTGACCGGCCCGAGTGCGGCGCCACTTGTCGGGGAACGGATACCTCGGAAATGCTAGCTCATCTCCTGCAGACCAGCGTGGACCCCCAACAAGCCTTGATATGTTGACGAATCTCCCTTTGCAAGGTCCCCTTCCATATTATCATATGAATCTGCAGGGCTTGCTGTCGCATTGCCAAAATGCTGCTTGCAATGCTCGGTCAGGGAAAATATAGCAGCCTGCCACGATTGCTTCGCTTCCTGCTATCTGCCAATGACTCAATACACCATAACGGGTTTATCAAAACAGAGGACCCCTAAAATTCACTTGTTTTCTTTTGTTTCCCCTTTGACGCCATCCCAAAAACATTCCAAGCCCCCACAAGCAGCCCGAGCTGAGCTTACAAACATTCAGTGCCAGGCTCGATCCACCCGAGCATTCTTGGACACACACACGCGCGCACACGCAATCACACTCCATGCTTGGCATCAGGGTCGGCGCCTTCAGTGGAGATTTGTTCTTGGGTTCGGATTCTTCACAGGGCACGCATACTTGACACTGGCAGGTGGCCTTGCAACATATTGAATTTGCTTTAAAGGCTCAAACCGATGCATCCCACTCTGTACTGCTGATGACATCGTGAGTACATAAGGGTGTTCCCTCAGCAGTAGGAAGCAGGGAATTTTGGTCTGAGTATCTTGCCATTTGGAGATTTGTTAAAAGTGGGGACCTGTATTGGTACGGTTTTGAAGCGGAAAGTTCAGAAGATAGACACGTTGTCTGTAGTTGTGTATATACGTGCATTTAAACTGGTATGGAGTCATGAATATGACACATAACCCGTGTAAACTGACATGGAGCCCGAAACGAGTTGATTAGAGGCAACTGCTTGGTCAAAATAGAGGGACCTCCAAAGTTGGGGGACATACATGCACAACTACGTCTTTACACACAAAACCCAGGATTGCCGCACACCCATTCTTAGAACCCGTCTGGTAGGAAGGGGGAGCCTGCTGTCTCTCCTGCTGCTTGCGTTCTGCCGCGAAACCCTGCTTCCTTGGGCCCCGAGCTGGCGCAGGCAGAAGAACACGACCACGAACAGGCGGATGGTGTCCAAAACTGAGCGGTTCCTTGGTCATTGAGGCACATGGAGGAAGGACGGGGTGGAAGGTCGAAGGCTTCGAATGTTCAAAATGCCGTGAGGGTTCAAAAGTCGGCGATCAGTGATTGATCCTTATTGGCTTGGCGGTCCCCGATGCCTGGCACTTGTAACATGAGCAAATCTGGTGTATGGGGATTCCTTATATACTCCAGAAACAAACAAGGAGCCTGAATGAGGGTCCCTGCCAGAAACCCGGAGGTTATGCTTGGTCCTGCTTGGCTCCAAGGGTGGCACAAGTTTGAAAGCTATCGATGGTGTCCACTCAGAAACTCGGCTAGTAGTTGTTGCAGTCATGGTGTGGGCACGGTTGATTCAACTTTGCCGGATGTAATCATATGGTCAGATTGTCTGATATGGTTTGATGACCTGTCTTGTTTTGACTGATGACTGGTGCTTTTGTTTGATTGCTCCAAACTCGTAATGAGTGCATTCTCAACCTTTGCGAAATTTGGCTCAACCACAAAGGGCCCTGTGGGCAGCTGGAATACCGGTGAGCTGTCCACACCTGCTTTTGAAGGAACCTTCGGGGCCAGATTGTCCGGCGCTTGCTGTTCTCCTGAAGCAACGTGGGCATGTGTCACAGACAGAAGTGGCACCGTGCTTTATTTGAATGATCTAGCATGAAATCAACCACGTGTAGTCTTCGAGGGGTCTTTGGTCTTGAGACTGAGTAAATCAATCAGGCCTGTCCTGACAACCTGAGGCTGACCGTGTTTCGTTTTGATAGTGAACACAATTGCGCCGTACTGATCATTGGGCCAGAAATGCACGGCATATATTGGTGCTTTGTTTCTTGACAAGTCACAAAGTATGCTGGTGCATTTCTACAGAGGACCCTGCCAGAATGGGCGGTTTCCCTTTGAGTTCCCCATAAAACGACCCCAACAAGGACAACCTCACAACAAAAACAACATATGTGGAAGGGTCAGGACGGGTAGGCGGAGGATTTCTTGGGCTCCCCGACAGCACGAATGCAACAGTGCAGAAGAGGGCGGTGATCATGGGCAGATTAGACCTGGACCGACAGAGAGAACAAAGGAAACCAAGCCGCCAATGAAGCGGAATGGGCGTGCCCTACATTGAGTGCGTTTGCTCTATAAGGGAAATTGCGTGATTCTGTTGGGGCCCAACAACAAGTCCCATGCTGTAGTTTCCAACAGATCTGAAGAGGAGGACAGTGCTTGACGCACCAAGGCCTGCCATGTGAAGTGGTCGGCGGCCTTTCTGGTTTCTGTCTGTGCACCAAAGGGGACCTTCAAAGCAGGCTGTTCCTGTTTTTCAGAAACATTGAACTTGATGGCACCTGACAGGAGTGGAATGACCATGTTGTGCACTCGATGAACACCATTCGCTTGCTGCGCCCTGAGCCCCCTGGCCTTGCTGGAAATTAGCCCAGTTGCATACTGGCTTTTCCCGCAAGCTCCCCGCAAAGGACGGTTGCCAACTTTTACCAAACACAACGCGTGTCAAGGTTGATGTTGGGAAAGTTGCACGCAAGCTGTGATTCGGGCACGAACCTGTGCCCAGGCAATGGGTTAGTTGGGGTAAACAAGCCACAAAAGAAAGGTTCCCCAAAAGCAAACCAATCCCCGGTCCCAAAGATCAGGGTTTCCCACACACCAGAGAACAACAACCAAAAGGAAACAAACCAAAAGAGAAAAGGGTTAACCCGCAACCTTGATCGACAACAGGCCGCACGACTGGTCCCTACCAACCTGGCGGCGGCCCGAGGTCTCTTTCTCCCCCGAGATGCCGTCGGTCGACGCAGGGGTTCGGCGACGCCCATTCGAGGCGCGACGGAACCCGTAAAACTTGAGCCAAACATCACAGGTCAGTCACTACCGCGACGTCCCTGATGATGAAGTTAACCATGGCTAATCACACCCCCCTCACGAGGAGTCCGTCATATGACGGGCGGAGCGTGCCATTTACTGATAGGATTTAACTGCTCGCATGTGTCCGCAAACAGCTGTACACTACCGCCGTCAGCGGTGGAGCAAACCCACAAAGGCAGTTGCGCGACATCCCGGGCATTAAATTCCCACCACCACCCCGAATTAATCGGGGTAACGCTGTCCAACACACCTTGTGGAAGAGTCCACATGACGGCACTAGGCCACAACTGTTTGCATCAACAATGCAAGAAGTTTAATTCTTATCAGAAGCCATGAAACAAAGGATAACGTATGTCCATTAGTACCCTCGCCTATCGGCAAGAGGTACTCCTGACCATGCGTATCTGAAAAATGCTTGAATTCCGCAAACCTGGGAGTATCCCCCCATCAGTTTGCTTCCCCTCTCACTCACACTGCTTCATGATGAACACGACCAGCAGCCGGGCAGCGGTACGGGAGAGACATGATCTCCGCGCCTCAGCGGTTCGGGAGGACCATCATCACCTCCCCACCGCGCCAACCGTCGGAGAATGGACGCAAGCCTATCGGCCGCAATCCTCGTGACTCAGCCTACCGGCTATCGTCACGTCTCCTCCGGTCACGTCCGCCCCGCGCATGGTCCCTATCACGATCTCTCTCGGATCTCCTGCGATCATCTCGCCTTCGATCCCGCTCTCGACCGAGTGAGTCATCATCACGACGATCTCGAGCATCGTCCCTCCTCCGGTCACGATCCTCGTCACGCCGCGGACGGTATCTGCGCCTTCTCGATTCTCGGGAATCCCTGGTGTCCACGGTCCTAACGGATCTCCGAGAGGGAGTACGGGACACATCCGAATCCCGACGACCCCTTCCGAGGCGAGAGTTCGTTACGATCTGGTTGAGAGCCTCCAACGCCGAATCATCTTCACCATTTCTGATGAAATCTCTGACCTGCTTATTTAGCACCCTATCGGGCGACATCGTCAGAAAAGCGTTCACCACCGAACTCTCCGGCAACACCAGGAAATGACCTTCCGCCGAGCTCGCAGCAGCTCTCTCCGCCGACTGCAACCTGATCTCACCCCCTTCAGGCTTCTTTGCCATTGCCTTGGAGGCCGTCAAAGGCGCTACCGCATCCTTTGCCGAAGATCTACCTAGCGCGGAATGAAGATCATCTCCACTTGCCTCTCTCGCTGCCGCACCTGGTCTGCTGTCAACGTCATCAGGCCTTGTTGATGCCTCCCGCTTCGTCGACTCCTTCACAGTCTCGTCGGGATCCCAACGGGACTTCCTTTCTCTCTTCTGCCCTTCAGCTGAGCCTCGACTACCGCCGGGAGCATCAGCACCGCCTACCTTCTCCTTCTTGACTTCAACTTTCGGGTCGGCCTGCTTCGTCCCCTTAGGCTCAGCCTTCGGGGCTGAAGCACTCTTCGCCTCAGTCACTGAGGCAGCCTTTCCCTTCGGCTCGGCCTTTGGGACCGGAGTCATCTTAGCCTTTGCGCTTGGTCGGGCTCCTTCAACCGCTATCGCGACCCAAGTCTTCTTCGGTTGAGCCGCAGGGGTATCAACCTCCATCGGAGCCGGTCCAGCATCACCCTTTGCTTTTGCCTGTGGGACAGAAGGACTATCGCCCTTGCCAGACCCTTTCTCTGGCTCTCCACCTGACTTTGGTGGAGGGCCGGAAGGACTACCGCCCTTACCGCCTTTCTCTCCTTTCTTCCCTTTTCCTTTTCCGCCCTTGACGATCGGCTCCTGCTTAGGACCAGGACCCTGCACAGCATGATGCACCGACTGGAGCTCTTCAACGTTCACCTCCAACGGCTCCGGTTGACGACCATCAATAACCGTCCTTACCCTCTCGTCGCTAACGTAGACGAATGGGTCACGGAATGGGGCAGGAGGCTCTGATTGCCCGGCACTGATCGCCTTCTGCACCTTGGCTACCGCCTCCCTCAATCTCTTCTTCTCATCGTATCCTGTCACTGAGACTAGGTACGTCCTGAGTTCTGATATCAACGCGTGACTGGCCAGGATGTCCACGTCCTTCCGATGGGTCGGATACAATGGAGTCAGATGACCCGCCGCAGAGCCAATCACGTACGCCATTGGGATATAGAAGGACAGATAAGTGTCGTGGCGGGCGAACTTCCTAACGGAAGTCGTCATACGCCTACCCCATTGGGCCGCATGAATCGGATTTGCCGGAAATAATCAGTGACCGAATCAAATCTATCGACTTGATTGGTCTTGATGAGGTGCTTCGCCACCCACTTCTCCACAAACGCGTCCGAGGCCGAAATCCCTGACACATAGGAGAACTGAAAGAGCACCTTTGCCAGCTCATCCCACGCCGCATCGACTCCTCCCTTGTCCTCACCGAGATAAGGGGGCAGCCTAATGCCGCTCTGCACCGTCATCCTCAGGTCAGACGCCATCGAATAGGAAATCAAATTCCTCTTGATAACTCCGACCACCTCGGCTGGGATCCTTTTGGGCTTGAACTGCCTCATACTCTTCACCCAGTTCGGGACGATGGCACATCTCTCGAAGTCATTTTCGTCTGCGTTGGGGATGAAGTTCGGGTAGAACACTGGGAGTGCGCACCCGGGGCACAAATGCATCCCATTAGCGTCATCTCCGCGCATCTCAAGCAGAAAGTGATGGTCACGTTCAACCTGACTTCCTCACGCGACCGCCTGTGTTCCCCCCTATCGGGGGTGAGGTCACCATAGTCCCAGGCCCGATGGTACACTATCGTGTAATCATCGAACATGTACGCAGCCTTCCACGCGCCCATGTGGATCTCATTTCGAACAGCAAGGGTCTTTCTCCTTGTCAGGAACACAGGTCCAACCAATGACCAATGCACCCCGAAGGTCCACAATGACCACCACGTACCTACCTGAGTAGTTCCGCAGCCTGTCCCTAACGTACCACGACGGCGACACCTCGGCGTTCGGCGCCATATTGGAATCAGGCCCTCATCCAGCCTTCCATCCCCAATGGTCTCGTACGCATCGGGCCTCGTGATCAATATCTCGATCGTTGCCTTCCCGTTGCGCCTCATCTTCTGGAGTCGGACTGCCTTCCTGAAGTCGAGAAACTTCATGATGACGTACCCCACCATAGGGAGTTCATTCCAGTGCATCTCGTACATCAGAGATCCGCCAGGTGCATCCTCCTGAGTGTATCTTTGCCTAACGGCGCTGAAACTCATGTCCCGTCCGATCCGCGTGTACCTCGGCCACCAATCTGGTGCACCCCCGGAGGAGGACACCATTCCCATCGTACATGATCATGAGCATTGTCTCAACTTGCCCTACCAGGAAAGCTTTGATCGCCGGGATGAAGAACTTCCACGACATCTCGGCGTTCTCCATACCCGTGATCTCTCTCAGAAACCAGATAGCTTGGTCACTACTCACCCAGTTTCCAGCCTCCCGTCCAGTTTCCTTCAGCACGTTCTCCTCGAATAACTCCGAGACTCTTTTCGAGTTGATCATCAAACCTTCAAAATCACACGAGAGCAGCTTCATCAACGCCTGAGCCGCCTCTCGTCCTGCGACGGTGCTCGCGGTCTCCTCGTAGTTCGGAACGTACTCGCTCAAATTCGTCTTCGATGGGACCACGATCTGGCAAGTGACAGCCTCATCAGGCACAACCCCAGTTTCCCGCAATTCTGGATTGATCTCCTGCCTATCGGCGAGGTAGTCCTTTCTTCCATCCAGGATCACGAGGTTGTACGTCATCTTGCTTGCCGCCACACTCGGGCGGAAATTCCTGCTTGCGTCAACCTGATCGGGCGCAAAGGGCCCACTGGGAGCAGATGCACTCACCATTGGCGCCCCTCGCCCAGAGCACAGGTGCTTCTTGTGGAAGTTCACCATCTCATTCAGCTGCGACAAGGCGTATGCTCGATCCTCCAGTGACGCACTCTTCATCCCTGCCTCAGTAAGAGGAGCTTCAGGCTTGTCATAACTCGCCTTTCCGCCCCATCTAGCCGCGACGAGTTCAGCAGACGTTGCAGCGTCGAGCAAGTTTCCCGACCATCCAGGCATGTCACTCAGCCTCTTGGTCAGTGCGTCTATCGACGCAGTCAAGTCTTCGTTCGTCACTGTGTGTGGGTCGACCCTCTCCC